GAATCCTAATTCTGTCTGCTAATTCACTCTGATGGAGGAGAACCCACTCCTCCATCAGAGTGGGTTCTCTTGTTTTCTTTTATGCCTAAGATTGAAATCAGAAAAGTGTCTCTGAGCTGAAATCCTGCTGAAACTAAACACACCAACATCTGTCTGGTCTTAGCAGCGTTGCCAGGACGCTTCTTGTCTTCCACTCTCTTCCTCCAGAGGGTGGATGTCATTCCCAGCCTTTAACCCTCTACACCTTGAAGTCTTACAGTCCTGGAATGGAGTTCTGTTCCAGCAGCTAAGGCATTAAGCAGAGGGGCAAAAGACTGCCCCCTGTTGGTTTACTTTGTGAAATGACCTTCAGTGACAAGAAGAGCAGATTTGACAGGGAAAATGAAATGCAGCATGTGTGAGTGCAACTGTGAGTATGTATGCTGAATATATTGAGGGTATGTTTGCTTTTTTTGTGTCTAGTCTGCAACGTTCAAAATATGAACCCTATTAAAGTGCATGTGACCATGAAGCTTTATAGCTGGTGTATTTAAGCAGTCTGTATGAGCATGAATGCAGGTTTGAGGTGTGCATGCAGCAGGTAGGTGGTGAACACTTCAGCAGTGGCTTTGCAGTAGTCATGATAAACAGAAAAGCTACAGAGTTTCTGCTTGTTTCAGCATAGAGTGACAGGAGCTCTTTGATATCTAGACTACAACTAAACTCAGCTCAGATTCACTCTGCAAACCTGAGGACAGGCACTTCACTGGAACACCAACTGTTTTGTTGTTGTCTTTTTCAATTTACCAGCTTTGATAACAAAGTCATGTTTCATATAAAACCTCATTATTATACACCATTTTACAAAAATGTTAACCCCATTTCAACTTCTTTACAATTTTGTCATATGGCCATAAAGCTTCATGTATTTTAATGCAAGTTTTCCACCAACAGAGAAATGCATAATTCTGAAGTGGAGGAAAAGGTACATTCTTCTAACGATGCTTTACAAAATAAAAATTAAAAAAACATAATGGTTCAGAGCGTTTTTCACTTATGAATGAGATCCATCACAGATCAGGGATAATGGTAAATGGCCTGTATCTGTATAGTGCTTTATCAAGTCCTGAGGACTCCAGAGTGCTTCACACTATATATTTACACACACATTCACATGCTGAGAATGCTAAAGAAGCAGTGTCAAGTTGTAAAATAAAATCCCAAGCAACATCTCAAACAATTTTATTCACTCCAATACTTGAAAATGGAAATAGTATGGTTCAACAGCAAACCTACCAAAACATGGCCGTCCATCTAAAGAGAAAGGCTCATAGTGACTTTGGCACAGCAGATATCAATTTTTCAGGGAGAGTCTGACAGGGTAGCTATTCGCCTCATGGTATATAAATATGGCCTTCATTGATCAGTAGCAAGCAGAAAGTCAATGTAGAAAGAAGTCCAGAAGAAGTCCAGTTATAAAAAAAAGTAAAATCAGGACAAATCACTACAACAGAATTACAGGCCAATCTCCAACCTTCCATTCATCAGCAAAATTATTGAAAAATCTGTTTAAACAATTAAATAAACAGTTGAAGGCGGGTTAACTTGAAAATGAAAGTCCACCTGCTGCCTTGAAAATGCAATTTAACTCAACAAGAAACTGGTTTTGGTTTTAACTTAGAAATTAAAATTCATAAATCATCATCATATCTTTATTCCAGAAATAAAAAAGGTCCATAGTAAAAGGATAAAACAAACAAAGTAAGAGAAAAATGAAAATAAACATGACACATAATATTCACTGAGTCACAAATAAACGATGACGCCAATGATTCCACAATGTTGAAGAAAATCTCACTGTACTAAAAGCACGGTTTACTAAAATTGTCCATCCATCCATCCATCCATTTTCTTCTGCTTCATCCGGGGTCGGGTCACGGGGGCAGCAGTTTCAGAAGGGAGGCCCAGACTTCCCTCTCCCCAGCCACTTCTTCCAGCTCCTCCGGGGGAACCCCATGGCGTTCCCTGGCCAGGCGAGAGACATAGTCCCTCCAGCGTGTCCTGGGTCTTCCTCGGGGCCTCCTCCCGGTGGGACGTGCCCGGAACACCTCACCAGGGAGGCGTCCAGGAGGCATCCTTAACAGATGCCTGAGCCACCTCAACTGGTTCCTCTCGACGTGGAGGAGCAGCGGCTATACTCTGAGTCCCTCCCGGATGACCGAGCTTCTCACCCTATCTCTAAGGGAGAGCCCAGCCACCCTGCGGAGGAAACCCATTTCAGCCGCTTGTATCCGGGATCTCGTTCTTTCGGCCATGACCCAAAGCTCATGACCATAGATGAGGGTGGGAACGTAGATCAACCAGTAAATCGAGAGCTTTGCTTTTTGACTCAGCTCTCTCTTCACCACGATGGACCGGTACAGCACCGGCTTCACGGCAGACGCTGCACCAATCCACCTGTCGATCTCCCGCTCCCTTCTTCCCTCATTCGTGAACAAGATCCCCAGATACTTAAACTCCTCCACTTGAGGCAGGACGACCCCCCCTGACCCGGAGAAGGCACTCTACCCTTTTCCGGCTCAAGACCATGGCCTCGGATTTGGAGGCACTGAGCCTCATCCCAGCCGCTTCACACTCAGCCGCAAACCGCTCCAGTGAGCGNGACAATTAAATTTTTATCATGACATTATGGAAAATAATGAACTTTATCACAATATTCTAATTTTATGACCAGCACCTGTATATAAAAAAGGTCTACACCACCGGTGAAAACTTCAGCATAGAAATGCAATAAAAAAAATATAGCTATTTTTATTATTCAAGAAAAGAAAAAAAAAACATTGCCCCGAAAAAAAGATACAGGAGATGTGTGTTTACCTCCACACAAACAGCAACACTGGTAGCTAAAAGTAATGACAGCATAGCATGTGGCCAAATGCGTTTCAGTAAAAAAAAACAACAAAAAAACAGCAACAGCGGACAATAAAGCTATGCTACAACAATTGTAGATAGAAAAAATGGAGTAAGTTTTCTCCTAAAAGTTATAAAATCTTTAGGTCAATTTCTGAATCTCTGACAAAAACTCTGAAATCTCCTGTTTTTTTTTTTTTTTTCTGATTTACTCCTCCGTTTATCTAGTGGCCCCTGGTATGCTGAGCCAAAAGGAACGAGTAACAAAACGCTTCCTAGAAACCTGAAAGTGCAGTATTAATCTGTGACATGTAGCGGAGGAAAGTCAAGTTCCCCTAAAAATGAATACTCCAGTAAAGATACTCAAAAAATGTAGGTACTATAGCGCTCAAGTAAACCGTCCGCCACTGCCTCAGCGGCGTTATAGGATTTATTTTCCGCAGCTGCACTTTTACGAGTCAGTTTTTCACGTTTAGCCGCAGCGCTGGAAAATAAATCCCCTGACGGCGCTGACCCGCGACACCGCCGCAGGAGCTCGACACATCAGCGACTGGTAACGCAGAACATTCTCAAAGCGACTGACAACTTAACTGAGCTCAGCCAGAGGACATGCGAGCTAACAGCAGCGGGAAGCGTTAGCTTCATCAAGCTGTTTCTGTCGCTTAGTTTAATTACTGTAATGCCGCGGCTCAGCCCGCCGTCCCTCATCAAGACTCTCTCTCTCTTTCTCCCTCTCTCATCTGTCTCCCTGCTAACTGAACACAGAGGTATAACGTTGAAAGAAGCAGATGCTGTTGAGGCAGTCCGCTGCTTTTTGGCTTTGATGCTCGCTCTCAGGAGAATATGTCACAATGAAGGAGAGTTGGAGAAACTTGGGTGGAAACTCGCAACAAAGAAACAAATTGGCACATTGGGGGCAATTAAATGAGAAGATGAATAGCTTAATTTGATTAGAGCTCGGCAGCAGCGTGCTGCATAGAGGAACGCGGCCTATCACGTGAAAGTCAGAGGCTTATTGGCAACGAATGATAAGAGCTTGTCATCCGTTTTCTGTCATTTACTCATGCCGTGTCAATACATTATCATAAATTCAACAATTCTGTTCGTTTTAAGGTCTTGTTGAGAGTCAACGTAAGGACTCTGCTGCCATCTGCTGGTCAAACTGTGTGCTGCTGTGGGCTTGGAGTTGTTATCGAGGGAATTTGTCAGTAATGTGGTTTACAGATGCAGTCCTTTGTGGTTGATTGAAGGGAACATAATAAATGGTTGTTTTATTTTAACAATAAAAATCTGAATAAAGCTCTTAAATCTTTACTCTAACATCCAGGTCAACCAACTACCTTCAGAGTCACCTAAAGACAGTTTTCTCTAGCAATTGAAGTAGAGTTGTTCAGAGTTAATACGAAGTGAGAGCCAGCCTAATACAGGGAAAAAAACATATTTCTCATCCTATGTAGATGACTGAGCAAGGGATGTGAAAGAAGGTAGACTACACTGCCAAAACCATAAAACCTTACCAAGTATTTTTGGTTCAGTTTCTAGTGAAAATATCTTAGGTCACTTGAAATAAGATACCTTTTCAGCAAGAATTACGAGCTTGTTTTAAGTCAATAATTTCTTAATGTTGATGAAAAAAGTGCTAGTTCTATTGTCAGATTATTTCACTTATAACAAGACATTTTTCCAGTGTTATAAAAGAAACTGTCTACCAATGGAACTAGTACTTTTTCATCAATATTAAGAAATTACTGACTGATTAATCAATAATTGTGGATGATGATGATGATCTCCTATATCAGTTAGTCTTAAAACGAATCCGAAAAAGCCTCTGCCTGTAGACACTGTTGCTCTATAACAGCTTTATGAATGTCATGACATGCTAATAGTTCAATATCCACTTAGCATAAACAATATTTCAAAGTAACATGTCCAGGATGACACTACCAGTTTTTGGCAAGAAGTGCTAATCCACCTCATCTGCTTTTGCTGCCCCTTGGAAATAGAAGGTGGTGAGTCTACCACTGAAAAAAATGAATCTTTTTCAGCTTTTTAATTGTAAAAAGTATTTAAAAACCAAATAAAAGACATAATGTTGCAGTCCCTTAAGCCACTGACCTTATCCTGCCAATAGTGAGATTGTACAGCTGGATGTGCTGAATGATCTCGTCTAGGAGTCGGTCCGTCATGGTGTCGAAATCTGCAAACGTGTCGGCCTGTGGCAAAAGACACGGCAGAGTAAACCGATCTGCAAATCGGCTTAAGGAGCTTTCACGTGCGACATCTGCTTTACTTCCTTCATCGTCTAAATCGCACCTGATTCCGTTCAGACATCAGGAAGTCGAGCCTGGATCCCGGCAGGCCCAGTTCAATGAACGTCTTGACCAGTCGGAGGTCCGCGCTGTTGCCTGCGGGGACAGAAATTCAGCTCAGGGACTTGAAGAGGGCTGTCTGCTAGTGAGGTACATGTTCTCAGAAAATTTAGGAGAAATATGTCTCACCGTCAAGACCGTGGACACACACCACGAGATGTATCCCGTCTTCAAACTCCTCGTCGTCCTCCTCAGGAGGGAAGTAGGGCAGATCTGACGCCAGGAGAGGAAGGTCACTGTACAAGCTAGCCTGGAACTTCAACTCTTTCAGAAGCTCCTCTTTGGCTTTGAAGAAACTGGAGAAAAGGGAGATGGCATTTGGTAGCAGGGCATGATTTGATTTATATTAAGGGTGTTTGAAAATATTATTTCAAGTATGTTAAAATCTTGTCTTTTTGCGGGGTGGGGGGGCAGGTTATGTGCAGCAATTTCAACTTTTTACATAAGACAAAAGGAAAGCTTAAAGAAATTTGCAACTTTGACCACAATGTTTTGAAAAAGGTCCTGCAAAATCAGTAAAATTAGGCTGCAATGATCACAAAAAGCCATCACGATATCCTGGAGGGACTGATTATTTCTATTCTCTAAGCAAATAAAAAAAGTGACCTTCTATCTAAATTACTTGAATTTAAGTTTGAAAAGAGGAAGGAACAAGCTCTGACATGAAACCATTGGTTACTAGAGCTGATCAAAACCAAGCCTTGTTTTCAACATCTCTGGTTATTCTAACATTGGGCAGAAGAAGCTGTAGAGTGTAAAAGCCCAGCTTTCAAATAATGATTGGAGACAAAATGAAGACAGGGACTCGCCAAACCTAAAAAACTGTCATAAGATGGTGTTTGGAGGAAAAGTTTTTTTTAAACTTTCTCTCAAACTGCGAGAGAGAACCGCTCTAAATGTTGCTACTGAACTGGCAGCACAATTGTATTGCCCACTTCTAAGCAAAGCAAAGCTTCTAAGCAAAATTCTCACACTCATAAGTAAGCTCCTTGAAGTTTGGCCCTGTCATCCCGCCAGGTTACAGACTTTAGCCGCGCAGGAGTCAAAACAAATCCGATTGCGCTTCCTAAACTCCTCGCTAATCATGGAGGATTTGTCTGCGCACTCTTTGATGTGATTTAATACACTTGGAAGGCATTCCTCCCAACCACCATCTTCAAATTTGGCCACACTTCCTTCTGTTGTGTTAGACTTTCCAGGTGGGCGTAACTGTCAGCTACTGTAAGCGGATGCCAGCCTCATTCTGCTGCAGATCTTATGAATTCAGTTCTGGTCTTTGAAGTCAGACATTCTGAATTTCCTTTTGGACAACATCAAATTAGCAATACAATGAGAGAAACACCAGCCAAAACAATACCTCGTAGAAAAACCAATTGTCAGTGCAATTATAGCTTACAAGTCTTTTGGAGTACCTATACATTCAAATTGCACATTCAGAGTCATTTTTGTCTATTGTTCGTTGCAAAATAGCTCATGTGGTTCATCCTCGTCACTCCACAGATTGTAAATGGACATAAATATTACTTTAAAAATTGTTCATGGCTGGCTTTATAGCAAGCGAATTAATTTCCAGTCTGACACATGATGTTTCAACTACGGCAGGTTGTAGTATTCTGACCATTAACAGTGAAAAATTCAGTATTAACTGTTCAGCTTCCATCACAAATTGCAAAACAAAACAAAAAAAAGAAAAGAAGCTGATATTGAATTGATAAGGTTTGTAAAATCCAATTGGTTAAAATGATGTATTGCCTATAATATGAAGAAATTGAGGGTTAAAGTATGTCGGGTTTAAAGAACATCAAATAATCTGGCATTGATATGACACATTTGGACAGATGAAAGATTTGTTTCTTCGTAGATTCAAATGTAAATCTTGTGTTAAAATGATAAAATGTGTAGCTTTGTTATGCTGATATACATGTTTTGCTTGGAATTTTGTACTTTATAGGAATATAGCAGATACTATGTTGATCTAGTCTTTACACAGTCCAGAGAGTTATCTACAGACAACACATTTATATATAAAAAAAATAGAAATAGATTTTTGTTTTTTTAAATTTGTAAACTACTTAAACAGCAATACAAGATTTATTCTAGATAAAAAATAAGAATACCTGCAAAACGCCCACCAGGTTTAAAAAGGCTTAATATGGGTAAAGGTTTGAACATTATATTGTTTTGCAGCTACCAAATAAAACTACTCTATCATGTTGTTCTACATCTGCTCTTTTGGTAAGAAGCTTTGCCACTGTCATGAAATAAAAGCAGGGAATTCAAATTTCTAACACTGTCAGAGATGAAAACTCACTTCAGCATCCGTTCATTGGTCTCCTCATCCGTGGCCAAGGGGCTGAGCGAAGATGAGGAAATGATCCCGAAGGAGCCCAGAGGCTGATGGGTAATAGGCGAGGAAGCCTGCCGAGCGGATATGCCGCTGACAGAGGGGGAGTCTCTAAGGACGGATGAAAACGGCAGACAAGTCGGGGCGCAGGACACAGACATGTTCACCACCTCCACCATCTTCTTATTCACAAAGGCCAGCCCGGAGTTAGGAATTTTTGAGGCCTTGGTCTGGCTTTCCAAAGGGTCTTTGTCACTCGTCGATGTGCCGCTGAGGTTAGGGGGCAACGTTATTTCCATGGCCCTCAGCCCTGTGAGGTCAATGGGCCTGACGGCGGTCCTGTTGGTGAGATCATTGGACTGTGAGTGTTTCAGGGGCATCTGTGGGGGATCCAGATGTCTGTCCTCGACGCCTCTCTGCTCACTCTGGTGGAAACTCTGGCAATCATCTCCGCAGCTACTGCTGCCCTGCTCTGCTGCACTTTTACACACACACGGTTTGCTTCCACATCTACAGGGAGCTACTTCCAATTCGAGGAGATGCACATCTTCCACTGAAGCGCTCTCTCCAGTCATTTGTTTTTGACGGTTCTTTTCATCCCCCCAGTCACCACTTGTCGGTACGAAAAGCCTCTCTATGGAGTTTTGGGAAAGTAACACATCAGACGTGTCACTTAAGTCCAACTTTCTTCCACAGGTCTCTGATAGATCCTGCTGAGAGTTTGAATTTTCTGAGCCCACGCTCCTACCAATGTGGTCAGTATTTAGGCTTAGCTGAGACAACTCAGATTGTCCTGAATCCATGTTCAAAATGCACAAATCCTGCTGACACACTGAGCTTGTCCTGTCTTTTTCCAAGCTGATTAAAATGTGATCTTCCTCCGCATCTTCCGGGCTGCTTATTTGCGGCGCAGAGACAGACTTAGTCAGTTTGCTGAGTTTCCTTTGTTGCTGGTCCTCCTCGTAGGGAAGGGAGCTAATCGAAGTGAGAGAGGCCTGTATGCCTCCACTTGGAAGGCTACCGTTGCTCTCCATCCGCAGGCCTTCCAGACAGCTGCGATGGACTGGGTGGTCCAACACGATTTGTTTTGGGATCTCTCGCTCACTAGAGAAATCTAGAGACGGTCGTCCCCGAAGCGCGACTTCCACGGGCCACGCCACTGAGCTAGGTTCGCTCTCGATACCCGAGTCTGAGATTACAGACGACGAGCGCTTCATGATCTTTGAGCTTACCAAGCCTCCACGATGAGTCATTTCTCTCCTGAGGTCTCCGGGGAACGGAGGCAAAGCGGGACTCACGCTGTTGGGGGGAACATCTTCACTGTCATCATCCATGGAGTGATTTAAAGGCATAGCGACATCACTGTCCTCTTCAGGGTTTTCTTGCTCATTGGTTGTGCTAAGGTTGTTACCATCACAAGGTACAGAGAAGTTTTCTCTTCCGTTGAGAACAGGAGACTCTTTACCACTGTTGGTACAATCAGAGGAAAGAACAAGAGCTCCTTCTCCAGTAGATGGATCTGTAGGAAAGGGTTCATCATCAGTGCCATGCCTTTCTGCTGGTTCCTTCAACTTCTGATCGTCAACCATCGAATCTTCTCTATCGTGCTCAGTCTGGGTGATGCTCTGGGTATCTGTAACATAATTTTGCCTTTGATCCGCTTTGACTGGGATATGCACGGGAGTGTCCATGCAATCTTCACTATCCAAGGAATGCCGGGAAAATGCTGGTGATTTGGCTTCCTGGCTGCTATGAAGAATCCGTTTGGCGGAGAATTCTTTGGTGGTTTCAAGTATTGGCACATACGATACCGTTTCTGGGAAAACAAACAAAGTGCAGTTATGAGAGAATCAGCAGCAAGGCTGGCGTACGTCTGTAGAGCTATTGCTACCTGTCAGCAGAGACTCTGCATATCTGTCCTCAAAGATGATGGGCAGGCTGTTCCAGTCTCCATCGATGTCCAGGCACTCGACAGGCAAAGGAGGCATTTTGGTCAAGTAGTCAGAGCTCCGCACTTCTGCAGCTATCTGGCCGTGTCTGTTGATTCTAAATAAGGAGGAATAATACTGTAAATTCAACACTTTTCAACTAAAACGAAGTAACTTTCTAAAAGGACAGAGACTCACAGCTCTTCCTGAAACGTCAAACAGATCTCTTTTGGGTGTTCGGTGAAGAAATATGCCTCTGAGAACCTTCTCACCTGACATTTTCAAACACATGGGAAAAAAAAAGAAGTCAGACTCCGATTTACCGTAATTAGCACAAGAGCTGGTAAAAATAGAAAGCTGAGTAAAATTCAAGCCCTGACAGCCTGTGCAGCGGAGCAAATCAACACTTTCTCTAATTAGAAATGCGTCAGCCCGAACAATAAGTGAGCATGACATACAGATCACCGGGAACACAGTTTCTTGTGTATTTCCTTCGACAGTAATTAGAAAATAAGTGTTAATTGAAACCTTACCTCTCCCAGAGAGAAGAGGCATGACAGTGTTCTTTCTCAGGGTAATTTAATACTGAGGAAACCGTGTTCATTATTTTCAGTTAAATGAGACAAAACACTGCAGCAAAATCAAGTCCTGAGAGCTGCTCTTCAGTGAAGAGCATACAGCGTTCATATTATGCAGACCAGCTATCAGATAGAAATGACTCTGGAAACCAAATTAGCCTGCTCACATGAGCTTATGCTCCTGGGCACCAGCTGGTTTTCCACTTCCACAGAAAGAGCAGTAGTTGAACCTTAACTACTGCAACCAAGAGCTTTCTGTTACATCAGGCTTTCAAGAACAACTCCTGCTTTTTATTTTACATTACATCTCACTATATTATTGTAGCACGGAGTTGTTTCTGTGACCGAGGAAAGTCTTAGTTTTGGTCAAGAATTCAAACCTGTTTCATTTTCCGTTAAACTGACCCTTAAGTCCTGTTAAATGAGAACTAACCTGGGAGTTTAATTTCACTGTGGAGTAGCGCTCTCCCTGCCCCACCTGTTGCTGTACATTGCCATCATTTCTCATATCTACACCCTCATCACACTGCTGGATATGTAGCTTTCATTTATGCCTTGCATCGATGAATCTGTCAATTATTCTGAATAATTGGAATTTTAAAAATGACACATTCTACATATTTTTTATTTAACCACTTAAGCATTTTTATACAATATTAGAAATACATTCAAAAATACTATGAAAAAAATAATTCATTTCCTTTTTTAAATTAGAAAATAAAAATTGTAATGCCTAAAATATCAATCCTTTAGTGAATTTGAACCGGATGAAGCTAAAATGATGCCACGTGCAGAGTTTTAGTCAAAACATGTTTACTGACAACAAGCAAAATGTATATATTTTTGTACAGATTTAGCTTATTTGCAACTTTGAACATGTTGGGGGGGTGGGGGGGGCTGTTCCAGAAAATGGCCTATTTTTGAGTCAGTATAATAAAGACTCCAGTTAACAATGATCGATTACTAAATTAGTTGACGACCATTTCAATAATGGATTAATCACGACTAGTACGATTAATCGTTTCAGCCCTAATATTGCAACACTTTTCACACAGTAGCATACAGAATTTGGCATCCAGTTTACTCAGGCTGAATCGTTTTATTCTTTGCCAAATGGGAACTGCATCTGACACTCCATGTATACCAAAAAAATTCAATAAATGAGAATATTATTGACTATTTCTCTTTGCTTGAGACTCACCCTAAGTGTGTGATGCTCCTGGGCCAGATAGGACAGGATGTAGGGGTTGAGCACAGCTGTCTCCAGGAAACGGCTCCACAGCGCAGCCAGCTGGGAGCAGAGCTGGCTCACGTCCCTGCTGATCTGCTCAGCTACCTTCTCATGGCCTTCCTGCAGCTGAGAAACGCACATTCAGCTAATGAGAAACGGAATGAGCAGGGAGTTCACAAGCAGCACAGCTTGAACCACTCCATTTCAAGAGCTCACACCTACCACCGCTGTACTTCCTTCAATAAAACTTGCTAAAGACATTGTGTTGTTTCAGAAGTCTGTAGTTGGGTCAAAGAGATCATGATGTAAATTATAGCACTTTATGTTCTTCAGAGCATGAAGTGGATTCAAGGAACGTCTTTAAAGTCAAAGTTCTGTGGCTTTAAGTGTGGTGCACTATATTACTGTAAAAATATTTCAAGTCTAGATACAAGCTTAAAAATGTGCAAAATTTTCCCTCAGGTTGCATGTTTTCAATATTTTCCATTAGCCACTAGAATATCAGGATGACGTCCATCTTTCACAAGATGGCCACTGGTTACAAGCCCTTTAAACCGATTATTTTCATAAAATGTTACCCATTTTCAAGACTTGAATGAACACATATGTTTTGTTTTCATATGTCACGTATGTTTTCGACTTTGGACTTCCCCTTTGTACAACAAAGAAATAGTAGCAAAATCAGAGACTGAGGCCTTTGCTGTTTGCGGGTCTCAAACCAACTGGAGGGAAATGATGATGTTACACAGACTGAGCGACGGTCGTCATTGATTATCATTAGCATCCACAAATTTTTCACGTGTTTAGCGGGTTAGCGTTAGCACCTGCTAATTTTTTTTAAGGTGTTAAACGGTTTAGAGTTAGTTTCTGCTCATTTTTGATTAGAGGTTTAGCGCTAGCGAGGCTAAGACTAGAGGTTAACGAACCTAACGTTTTGGTTAGCTGTGCATCTGGCAATAAATACATTCCGCAATATATTTATTAGAGAATAAATATATTGAAGAAAATTTTAAAATGGCCATGGTGGCCATTTTGAAAAATATCTGCCCGAAAAAGGATACAACGATCAAGAAAATTTGTATGATTTCTATGGTTCAAATATGTAAGCTATGATTTGACAGTAAACACAATCTAATTGGCGATTTTAGAGTAAAAATGCATTTTTCATGACAGCAATTTTTTGCTATCAAAAGTATTCATTTGTGATACATACTGGCAGTTTCAGTTCAGAATTTTTTTATTATTATTATTTTTCAGTGGCTGATTTTTGTTGTTGTTGTTTAAAAAAA